TACCCAGGTTTTGGTATAATCTTAACTGCTCAGGAGGCTGAAATCTGAGGATCATGGTTTGACCCCAGCCTGGGCAAGATAGTCCTTGAGACTCTTATCTCCTATTTATAAAAGTCAGAAGTAGAGCTGTGGCTCATGTGGTAGAGTGCTAGCTTTGAGCAGAAAAACAAAGGTACGGTGCTCAGGCTGTACCCAGGAAACATCCTCTGCCCCCAAATATTTTCTGGGTTTAGATGGCACATACCTTAATATTCCTCCAGGGTCCATCAGATGAGCCTGTATAAACCAGCAGCTATACAAATATCCTTGAGGACAGAAAGTCATGTGTCTATGGTGTTTATGTAGTTTTATTTTATTTTATTTTTATTTGTGCCAGTACTGGGGCTTGAAATGAGTGCTTGTTGCTGTCACTTGGCCTTTTCACTCAAGGCTGGTACTCTACCACTTGAGCCATACCTCCACTTTTAGCTTTTTGCTGGTTAACTGGAGGAAAGAGTCTCATATACTTTTCTGCTGAAGATGGCTTTGAACTGCAATAATCAGATCTCAGCCTTCTGAGTAGATAGGCCCCCAACACCAGTTTAGTTTTATTTTAGACATTGGAAATGGAATGACAAACACCAACCTTGCCATAAGAAATACAAGGTCATTAGAGAAATGTGAAGAGGGTAGATGGTTCAGCATGGCTAAGGGGACAATCATCGGTTACAGTCACCTATTTGGGCAAAAAAGTGAGCTTTTAATGCAAAGGAATATGAAATTATAAAACATGAATGAACAGCTGGAAATATATAGTCCCATATTAACATCTAGAAGGCAAATTCTAATGAAGGATTTTGGAATGTTTCTTATCTTTCTGGGAATGAAACTCCAAGCCCCAATTCCCTATGCCTCTTATAACAGCTAAGTCCATTGTAACTTTTAGTAATTGGTTTTTTATTAAACTAAGAGAGTGTAGTATAAATTTTTTAGCAAGTGGGTTAAATAGGTATTAACAGACCCTGGGATCCAACCACAATTTGTAACATGGTTCCTTTGGGAAAATGGATTCTAAGTGCCCAATAACTACCTTACAAATAGACTTTTGAATCATAGTCCGTTGGAGAATAAGGAACTGTTTGTGATGGTAATACCTTCCATTGGCTTGTGTGAGAACTGCACAGAAGGGACCTATATCCTGCCATATGTATGTGGTGAGCCCTGCTAGTCTGGGTTTGATCAAATATTATTGCTGAGTAGGCATGGAAGTTGTAGGAATGAAACCGAAAGCAGAGGTGAGAGAGAAGTCCAATAGAGAGCTGAAAGGATGAATCTACAGAGGTTTAGGTGGTAGGGAATGCTTTTAATCTCCAAGGCAATAGTGGGATTCTGAGCAGATGAAATGGAGTGGAGGGGAGCATAGGAAGGAAAGCAACTTAGGAGTAGAAGTAGCTGAAGGCCAAAAAATCCAGAAGCAGCTAGTAAGAATCAAGAACAGATTATTTATTTATTTACTTTTATGTTGGTCCTAGGGCTTGAGCCCAGGGCTAGCAAATGACTGTCATGGATATTAAAGGAAATTGAGTCAAAACTTGGATATCTCAACTCATTTATGATTCAACATATGCATTGAGCACTTTTTAAAAATTTAATTTTATTGTCAAGGAGATGTAAGAAGGGTTACAGTTACATATGTAAGGTAGTGAGTACATTTCTTGTCAAACATTGTTACCCCTCCCTCATTTTTCTCCCACTTTTCCTCTCCCTCAGTGTCCCCCAAGTTGTAAAGTTCATTTCCAATGAAAATCTTGTATCACTATTGCATTGGTTCACACTTTGCCATGAGTTAACATGATCAGAAGTTAGTGAAAGGAGTCACTGCCTTCATCAGATTTACAATTTAATGTAATTCCAACCAAATACAAAAATGAGGCAAAGGTTATTAGGGCATGGTAGTAGTGATATATGGAATACACTCCTAGGAGAATATTAAGCTTGCCTTATTTCATTGTGGGCATTTTTTTGCCTTCATTGTATTTTAAGATTTTAAGAAATCCTTTTGCACAACTACTTAAAGATAATTTCTAAAAAGATTTTAAAAGTTGGGCACCAGTGGCTCATACTTGTAATCCTAGCTACTCAGGTGGCTAACATCTAAGAATCTAGCCAAGGCAGGAAAGTCCATGAGGTTTATCTCCAGTTAACCAACAAAAACCTGGAAGTAGAACCGTGGCTCAGTGTTCTCTCTCTCTCTCTCTTTCTCTCTCTCTCTCTCTCTCTCTCTCTCTCTCTCTCTCTCCCCTCTCTCTCTCTCTCATCCCCTCTCTCTCTCACACACATTTTTTAAAAAAATTTAAAAAAAAGATTTATGAGGTAGATTACATGAAACACATCTTTTTTTAAAAGTCAATATTAGAGCATGTAGCCACTCATAACTATATTTTGGTTAGTTGACTAAAATAGCTTTGACTTACATATCTACTTAATTGAGTTAACATGGCTACTTTGTGTTTTATTATGTGAGAAAATCTCTGGCCATGAAATTATCAGTGTGAAATTTTCCTAGTTACTGTAGTATAATTTAATAATTTTGGCCCTCTCATAGTAAGTGGCCAAGATATCTATATCTCCCACACATCCACTTCCCAGATTCAGGAAGCCTGGGTCCTGCTCATTTGAAAATGTTCCTGAAAGTTGGTGTGTTCAAAATGTAACCCCTAATCATATAGTGTTGGGGGGTGGGGTGGGGGTCCAAAGAGAGGTGATTGTGTCGTGAAATTTCACTTTCACGAATGGATTAATGCCAATTAGAAAAGAAATCGAGACTTCAAGTTTGATCACTCAGACTGGCTTGCCTTCCTTTTCCCTCTGCCATAGGGTGACACAATACAGAAACTTCTTGGTCTTAGGCTTTCAAGTTGCCATAACCATGAGTCAATAGACATATTCATTATACATTTCCCAGACTCAGGGATTCTGTGAGAGTAACACATAACAGACTCAGATTGTGGTTTTCTCCCACAAGAAAATGGTGGAAACTCTTTCTTACTTTGTAATAGCTTCTATCTTCATTATAACTAAGGGGGAAAAGATATCTGTTCATTAAACATACTTCTTTAAGATTACAGTTTATATAATCATATGATAAATTACAAGAAAATGTAAAACTTTGTACCAAAATGACTATCATCCAGACAAAATAATTTCAGACTTTTGTGCTTGATAAACTAAACCACATACATACATACATACATACATACACATAAATGCACACACACATACACACACACTTTTTTGTGTGTGTGCCTATCCTGGAGCTTGAATGCTGGACCTAGATACTGTCCCTGAGTTCTTTTGCTCAAGGTTAACACATCCACTTTTAGATTTTTTTGGTAGTTAAGTGGAGATAAGAATCTCATGGACCTTTCTGCCTAGGCTGGTTCTGAACCATGATCTTTAGATCTCAGCCTGCTGACTAGCTAGGATTATGTGTGAGCCACTGGTGTCCTGCTTAAGCCATAGTTTGATTAGTCAAAAATCTCCTTGTAGTTAAGCTAGATTCCCTGAACATGTACTGATAAATTCCCTGAGATGGTCAAAACAACTTTTTTTTTACAAAAATCTTTTTCTGAACTTCAAATAGTTATACAAGGGGATTACAATTTAATGGGCCTATCTAAGTGTCTAGAGTTTATTGATCAGAGTCACCTCTTCCATCATTCTCCCCTATCCTATCTGCTCCTTTTCCCTACTCATTTAGAACTTCTTTGTTTTAAGCCATAAAAGATGGATCCAGGTTTTAATTCCATGTAACAAGACACCACATTAAGGTGCTTATTTAGGATAGAAGTAATATATTTTGGTAGGTTTGGGTAGTTTGATTAGACATTTTCCATATATGTAAAAACAGTTAATTTCTTATTCTGATGATAACATGGAGAAAATGGTTTAATCTGATCTCAAATGGAATAGAAATTAATTTTTTTTTTTGTCCGGTTGTGGGTCCTGAACTCGGCCTGGGCGCTGTCCCTCAGCTCTTCAGCTCAAGGCTAGTGCTCTAACACTTGAGCCACAGCTCTGCTTCCGGCTTTTTTCTTTTTGCTTATGTGGTACTGAGGAATCGAACCCAGGGCCTCAGGCATGCAAGGCAAACGCTCTACCACTGAGCCACCTTCCAAGCCCCCCTAGAAATTAATCTTTTATGTATGTGTGTGTGTGTGTGTGTGTGTGTGTGTGTGTGTGTGCTTGTGCTTGTGTGTGTGTGTGTGTTTATATATATGTATGTATCTTTTGGAGTTTGTAAAGATTGCCTTTTAGAAAGTGAGACATAGTTGTGTTTGCCATTTGGATTTCAGTAATGCTATCTTTTGAACCATAAATAACGTTTGTTTCTATGGAATTTCTACTCTGGGGCATCAGAAATATGTCTGTGCAGTGTAAAGAAGAGAGATATAAGGATCTTAAAATCCTTAGATTGCATTTCTGGTGGAAGAAAGTTACAAGTTCTGGATCAACCAAACTCCCCAACCAAAGTGATAATTTTAAATATCAAATGAATCCCACTCTGAAAATGGTGTGGATTACTTGTGTGTGTGTGTGTGTGTGTGCGTGTGCGAGTGTGTGTGTGTGTGTGTGCGAGTGTGTGTGTGTGTGTGTGTGTTTGATGATACTGGGGCTTGAACTCAGGACCTGGGCCTTGTCCCTTAGCTTTTTTGCTCAAGACTAGTGCTCAACCACTTAAGTGCCACAGCTCCACTTCTGACTTTTCAGTGGTTTATTAGAGATAAAAGTCTCAGAGACTTTCTTGCTTGGGCTGGCTTTGAACTGTGAACTTCAGATCCCAGCCTCCTGAGTAGCTAGGATAACAGGCATGAGCCTGAATACCCAGCTGAGTACAATGACTTTTAATGTGTTGTGTTACCAGTTGAACAGTTTGTATTTCTCCATGTTCTGCTTTCAAAGAACTTACCTTGGAGTTCTGTTAAGCATACATATGTGATTCCCTTCTACTCTTGTTCCAGGCAACCAGGGCAGCCATCACTCAGCACTGCACAGATCTTGGCAATTTGCTAGGCAAAGAGAATGACATAGCACTCATCATCGATGGTCATACGCTGAAGTATGCTCTGTCCTTTGAAGTCAGGAGAAGCTTCCTGGACTTGGCACTCTCATGCAAAGCAGTCATATGCTGCAGGTAGGAATATCCAGATGGGCCCAATTGGTGTGTATCATGTATCTGATAGTGTGTCCTCTGGGCTTTATTAGAAGAAATCAGCGCATGAAAATTTCAGGCTTTAGACTCTAGGTCTAGAGGTGGGGACAATACAAATCCATCTTTAATTGTTGGTATGCATATTTTCTCAGTGATAATGATGTGTGTGGGGGGTGTATGAGAGAGAGAGTGTACAGGGTTTTGAATTCAGGAACTGTCCCTCTTTGCTTTGGCTTTTACACTGAAGGCTAGAGCACTGTCACTTCAGCTACACCTCTACTTCTGACTTTTTCATAGTTAATTGGAGGTGAGTCCCACAGGTCTGTTTGCCTGGGCTAGCTTTGAACCACAATCTTCACTCATATCTCAGCATCTTGAGAAGCTAGGTTTACAGGCATGAACCATCAGTGCCTGGCAAGCATTTTATACTTTTATTGTCTTTGGAGAAGATATGAGAAGCAAAAACTAGGATTTGTAGTAATGTTCATGGTGGGAGATGAATTTATAACATTCTGCCTTGAGCCATTATGAGCAGTTACCAGGGTCCTACCTATTTGGTTCTTTATTGCAGATGTCAGAGTTCAACTTTAAGATTTGTGAGGTGTGGAGGCCTCTTTCCTGATGTTCAGGGGCTATTTATTTTCAAGCTATAAGGTGCTTGGGTCAAGTTGATATCATGCCATGGTTTGTGTTATTGTGCCATGGTTGGTTCCTCCTGGAATCTGGGAAGGCTTTTTATTAGGGAGGGCATTGTTAATATTCATTTGACTACAGGTACATGGATGTCCAGTTCTGATGAATACTTAAAAGTCAATTATAAAGAAGACAGATTTTTAGCTTAGTATCAGTGGCTCCTACATGTTAATCCTAGCTACTCAGGAGGCTGGGATCTGAGGATCCCTGTTCAAAGCCAACCCAGGCAGTAAAATCTGTAAGACTCTTCAATCACCCACCAGAAAGCTGGAAGTAGAGCTGTGGTTCAAGTTACCAGTAGAGCACCAACCTTGAGCAAAAAAGCTAAGGGACAGTACCCAGGCCCTGAGTTTAAACCCTGGTATGGGCAAAAAAAGAAGACTTGAGAAAGATGAATGGTTACCAAAGGCCAAGAACTGGCTGATGGCAAACAGGTAGAAAAAAAAAAAGGGATGGGAAAAATCCCTTTGTAAATAAAATGTATAGGTACTGATTGGGTGAATTTCTCCACATGGGCACTTCCTGTTTTGTTACAAAGCTACAAGTCATGGTGAGTCACTTCTGCCTGTCAAACCCTAACATTAACCAAGAAGACATCTTCCAGCTTATTGGTGGCAGAAACAAACAGAAGTAACAGAAACAACAAAAACAACGCAGGAATATACTGGTAAAGTGTATCACAAAGCAAACATGCTAAAATCTTTCAAGGGGAAATCAAAAGTTTTTCAAAGGGAAATAAAAACATGTGTGTTTGGATTCTCAGGGGAAAACCAGGAATGCCTTAGGCTTTACAGAAACATGCTCTCTTCTGACCAGGTGCTTGATGCTAAATAAAACCATCTCCTTCCCCCTTCTTGCTTTGGCTGCCTTCACAGGGGCTTTGTGTGTCACACAGTCTGTATGCTTAAGGACATTTCAGGCATGAGTTCAAACTACAGTTGGCACGGAAAAAGGAAATTTCAAATTAAATACTGTGACTGTCTACCAAATAGAAGCATAACCTGAAAGAAAGAATCAAGGAGAGTTCACTCTTTTCTTGCTCTCAGGGGCATTTCTTGGCTGATCTCACACTTTGGATGAAAAATAAAATGGCATGTACTTAAAAAAAAACTCCTGCACTACATAAGTACTTATGGTTCATTGAGAATTTAAATGTGAGCTAAATTTAATATGTGGCTTCCTACGTAAGATCAACCTGGATTTTCACTTTTTGTCTTTAAAATATAATCATAGTAGGAGTTATATTATTCTCTAAGAACAGGAAAAGGGTTTCTTTTTCAGATCATAACTTTTCATAATGTGTTTTAAAAATCAGTATTGATTCAGAGATGGGCAAATATAGTGTAAAAATGGGTAACTTCAAATTAAAACAATTTTAATCAGGCATCAGTGGCTCATGCCTATAATCTTAGCTACTTAGGAAGTGAAAATTGTGGCTCTGAGTCATCCCAGGCAGGAAAGTCTGTGAAACTTTTATCTCTAATTAGCCACTAAAAAGCCAGAAGTAGCCGGGCGCTGGTGACTCACGCCTGTAATCCTAGCTACTTAAGAGGCTGAGATCTGAGGATCGTGGTTCAAAGCCAGCCCTGGCAGGAGAGACGGTGAGACTCCTATCTCCAATAAACCACCAGAAAACCGGAAGTGGCGCTGTAGTTCAAGTGGTAGAGTGCTTGCCTTGAGCTGGAGTTGAGGAACAGCGCCCAGGCCCAGAGTTCAAGCCCCATGACCGACCAAAAAAAAGCCAGAAGTTGTAACTCAGTTGTAGAGTACCTGGGGTGGAAAAAGTTAAGTGACAATGGCTAGGCCCAGAGTTCAAGCCCTAGGACCAAAATAGATAAATAAAAATTAAAATAAAAAACAATTGTAGAAAATGAAGGGAACAAGACAGAGCTTATTAAATATTTTGCTGAAATGAGAATCATACAAAAAATCAAATTAAATTTAAAAATATAGAAAGTCCTCAAAAACCCAGAAGTGGTAGTGTGGCTTAAGTATTAGAGCACAAGCCTTGAGCAAAAAAAGCTAAACAAGAGTGCCAGGTCCTCAGTTCAAGTCCCAGTACTAGCACAAAAAATAAGATTTAATTAATTAATTAAAAGAGAATCATAAAATTTTACTAAGCATATATTGTTATCCATAGATATTTGCCATTTAGCTAAAATCCTAGTAAGGTCCTAATATGGTCAGCAGGATGCTAAATAGCACACACACACATACACATAAGTAAATAAGATGAGAATCATACAGTTTTGCTAATTATATGTCGTTATACTTAAATATTTTTCATTTATCTAAAGTCCTAGTAAGGTCATAATGTGGTGAGCAGGATGGTGACTGGTGTGTACTGTGCTACTGTGCTATAAATTATTGCTGTGAACTGGTCTGTCCCAGATGTCTCTCATCTGTGGGCTTAATGTTTGCAGTCTACATTTCTAGGTGTGTTCCCAGATATTAGTTGAGAATAAAGAAACAGGAGGTGATCTTTGTTCTTCAGCACAAATAGTATCAAATATGTCATACTATTATCCTCGCTTCTCTGCATCTCCTCTATACTTTAGCTTTATGGAATCAGGACCTCTTTGAGGCTAATATCCTTCACATTCCTATTTTGCTATATACAACAGATTCATTTCCTTTCAGCATTTGTCTGTGTGTGTGTGTGTGTGTGTGTGTGTGTGTGTTTGCGTGAGCTTGCACGTGCGCATGCCAGTTTTTTTTGTATGTATGTGTGTGTATGTGCCAATCCTGAGGCTTGAACTCAGAGCCTGAGCATTGTCTCTGAACTTTTGTGCTCAAGGCTAGAACTCTACCACTTGAGCCACAGCTCCACTTCCGGCAGTTTTTTTTGGTGCTTAATTGGAGAGAAAAGTCTCATGGATGTTCCTACCCAGCTGGCTTTGAATTGTGGTTCTTAGATCTCAGTTTCCTGAGTAGTTAGGAGTGAGCTATAGGTGCCTGGCTCTAGCATTTGTTTTTAGTGATTCCTCCTTTGAGAGATTTTCTTCTCTCTCTGACATCTTTTTCTTCTCCCTGTTGATTCTACTCCTTTTTTTGACTCTCTGAAAGCTTCTGAAATGTTTTCCCAAGGACTTAAGACTCTGGTGTATCATATTCCCACTCTGAATCTTCTTAATATGTGAATTCTGTTTGCTTACTTATTTGCCCATTCTGGGCTTGAACTCAGGGCCTGAGCACTGTCCCTTAATTTTTCTATTCCATGCTAGTATGCTACCACTAGGATGATAGTTCCATTTCTGGCTTTATGCCAGTTAATTGAAGAGAATAGTCTCATGGACTTTCCCTATCTGGGCTCATTTTGAAGCATAATTCTCAGATCTTAGCCTCCTGAATAGCTAAGTTTACAAGTATGACACACCGGCTCCTGGCTGCATTTCTGTCTATTGTTATAGCTTGTCAATCTTATACATTGTGGTTCTTTATATCAACATTATGTAGAATCATCTGGAGAAACTTAAGAAAATATTACCCTTGACCACATAATAAGTGTACTAAATTACAAAGCACGTCTAATTTTAGGATTGTACCCAAAAGGATTAAAACAGGAACTCAGTCAAATACTTACATGTTTGTTTGTAGCAGCCTCTCTTGGTCACAATAGCCAAGAGATGGAGACAACTCAGTTCATGATTAAATAAATAAAATGCAATATATCCATACAATAGAATGTTATTTAGCCACAAAAAGAAGCAGGTTGAATAAAATAAAATAGCTGTAAATAAGAAGACATATTATGTAGTCCCTCTCATATGAAATATTCAGAATAGATGAATCTACAGGGAGCTGATGGTAGAAGGGATGTGGAATGATTGTGTCCTTGTACAGGATGATTGCATCACAAACAGAGGATTTCCTTTTAGAGATGATGAAATGCTGTGGAACTAGTTGTGGGTGATGGTTGAACAGCATTTTGCTTATGGTCAGGACACTAGAGTTTTATACTTTAGCATAGTTAATTTTGTGTTCTGTGAATTTTACTTCAATAAAAATATACTAACTAGGGGCTGGGAAGGTGGCTCAGTGGTAGAGCTCTTGCCTTGCATGCATGAGGCCCTGGGTTCAATTCCTCAGCACCACATAAACAAAAAGAAAAAAGCTGGAAGTGGCGCTGTGGCTCAAGTGGTAGAGCGCTAGCCTTGACCTGAAGAGCTGAGGGACAGCGCCCAGGCCCAGAGTTCAGGCCCCACGACTGGACCCCCCCCCCCAAAAAAAATATACTAACTACTCAGAATTGCAAGATCTGAGGATCACAGTTAGAAGCCAGCCCAAGC